GGTCCCTTCTGGGGGTCCTTGAGGATCAGGACTGTCCGGCCTTCGGTTAGCCATTCCAGGTGTCTCTCATCAACTAGCAGCTGCACGCATGTGTGTGGGTGGGGTTTCCTGTGTGGTTTTCCTAGTTCCCAGTTTCCAGTTCAAGTTATGTTTTTCTTGTGTTTAGCATTTTTGTCACAGCAAAATAAATCTGCCTTCCTCAGTTAATCATTTTGAGTTTCGAGTCTTGCATTTGGGTCCTCCCTCTCCCTCCTACACAGCACTCACATGACATTAGGTGTGGAGGCAAAATTCACCTTCTACAATTTAAGCAACAAAAAATATTACATTTTTAAAATTCTCTTTCACTGCTTGTGTTATTCCTTTAAGGTGAGTAGATTTGGAAAAATTTGAATTTAGATGAGACTAACATTTGTACTCTCATGTACTAATATTATTTTATTATCATTTCTATAAGGAGAGATCACTTGGAGGAATTGAACATGATTTATTGTGACAAAGAAATGAATTCATTTGGGATAAGACTCTGATAAACCCCCCAGAGTCTAGACGCTGGAGGTGGTGGTGAAGATGAAGACTGAGGCTTGAATAGAGCTTTGGCCGAGGTGCCTGAGGTGGAGATGGGGAGGAGGTGGGTTACATGAAAAGAGACTCAAAGAAATCAGACATGTCAGTATTGAGATTGACAGCATGGGAAAGCAGCCATGATGTAAAGAACAGAAATATCAATATTAATATTCCAAAAGGTTCAGTTACTTTTGCAAAGTTGCTTCACGGAGCTACTTTTTACATTTATCTTACTTTTAATAGATTTCAGATCCTTTAATTTTTATTTTTACCTAAATAAAGAAGTTGACTCAGTACTTTAACTTTTACTGGAGTATTTTTTAACGCAGGTGTCTGTACTTCTACTTAAATAAAGAATGTCAGTACTTTGCCACTGCTCTGTTTTGTATCTTACACTGTGATTAATGTTAAATGATCAATGATTTCCCCTCCCTTCAGGTGGAGTCGTGGCTCCACCTTTGGGGGGACTATTACTTTCTGGGCATTTCTTCTCAAAACAAGTATATAGAATTTGATTTTAATTAAAAGGACCACTTTAAATGACGAAGCAATAATATGACAGAGATCTTTAATTACATTAAGTGAGCCTACAGGGGTCGCTGAGAGTCAAAGAAACAAAAGGTCTCAGCAAACATTGTTGCTTGCATAAAATCGACATTTTCTTTCTTAAATGATATATTTGCCCATCTGCATTACATAAATTTGTCTATTAAGCACCTACCCTATGTCACTCTAGGTACTGCTCATTGTATTGCACATCACACTAGTTTGACTCTACCTGGGATGCCAAAAAAATGGGTGTTAATGGAATAATCTTCACATGCCACAGAAAAGACACATTTTCCCATGAGACAGCAGAAAAGACAAAACAGATTCACTGGATTTAAGCAACATTTTAAACAGAAGAAACAGAAAATGATGGTGCAGCATAAAATACACATTTTTACACACATACGTCCTTTAGTTGGCACATTAAACACCTGAAAAATAGATGTATATTGTTTCAAGAGAATATATAAAAGATGTAAATTCAAATGAAAGTATTTACACACTGAATCAACAGTTCATTTGTGCCTGCTTAATGGATCAGTGTTCAGTTACTCTGAACAACAGAGCTCTGCTGTGAAAGCTACATTCTGAATAACAAAAGTCTTCTGACTGGTGTCTTTCTTTCTGTTTTTCCTGCACAGTTTTTCACAGTGCAAGAGATTCAACAGATGCTTTTGCGAATCCTGTGAGATCAGATACAGCAGAGGGTTCATACAGCAGTGAGAATAGGCAAGCATTTCACAAATATGGTAGATGATACTCAAGCACTCCTGTGCCTTGCAACCTTTGGGTGCATAGACAGACTTGATTAAAAGCATAATATGGTATGGCCCCCAGCAAATGAA